TCTCTCTTTTTTTGTTAATTGCAATTTGCAATTTATAAAAAATTACTTTTATTTTATTAAGATTTATTTATAACTTGCTGCTGCGTAATTACTTTACAAATCAACATCCAAAAATGTAATGAGAATGTGTTTCTTCTAAAAATTTCCAATAGCTTTAATTTGTGTGCTGCTATTGTGCTTGCTTATCTTCGTTAAAATATACCAAGAAAAAATATGGTTCTTCCCCTTTCTATACATACACATACACAACAAAAGGGGGGAAGTCAAGTAGACAAAGCTCATTAAATGAGTCAACAATTAACGTGTGCTATTTCTTATTTACACAATGTTGATTTTTTTATTTATTTAATATTCATTTGCTTTATTTATATGTAATTTAATTACAAAAGTTTTTTTATTTCTTGCTAGCTTATCTTTTTTTTAATGTTTTTCTTAATAACTGTTCAAAAATGCACTTAATTTAATGAAACGTTCCACCTTGTTTTGCAGACAAATTAGCAATGAATTATTTTCCATTTCATATCAAATAATTTCAAAAGTTTTACGTTTAAAGCTTTTTCACAACTTCCGACGTCATTAGATTACGTCCATTTTGTTGTTATACGACTTTTATATAAAAAACAAGTTCTTAAAAGGTAGATCACTTTGTAGGAAAAAAGCTTTTTTTAATACATCTTTTAAATAGCAAATTGCAACCCTGTTTAGCTACAGTGCAACCACAGTAATGTCAACTTGAGTTTTATTTAAAGGGAGAATAATTTAATATATATATACCCTACATCTCTATAGAAATAAATTTCTTGTCAATGGAATTTAGTATTAAATATCCACTTTTTTAAATTTCAATCATAGAAAGTTGGTATTGTGATCAAACACAAACATAGTTTACAGGAACATAATTAATTTTTACAATATTATTTGCCGATCCTATAAAGTGTAATGTGAATTAATTTAAGTCGTGTAAAAATTATTATTAATGGATTTTGTCTAGTTAATATTAAATATAAAAAATTACTTCTTTGATTTTACATTTATTTCATTGAATTAATTTCCAAGATAATTTAATCTTTATTATAATGAATTCAACTGAACGGTCCTTCTTATTTTTTAAATTCATTCTATAACAAATAGAAGAAATGTATTTTTTTCATTAATTTTCTCTAAATTAATAAAATGAATAGTAATTTGGAGGAGTTAAAACTAAATCGATTGGAATAATAATTACGGAATTGTTTAAGTATTTGTTGCAAATAATTCAACTTGCAGAGAATTTGTGTTTTAAAAAACTCGTAACATGCTCGGCCACACTTGTTTCTAGCTTTACCAAACTATCAATAATTTGTTATATCAAAGTAGGATTCTTTCTATAAACCGATTTTCGAATATTTTGTTCAAAAAAAGTCTAAGTCGAATAAAAAGACGTAATCGGTCGATATCAAAATATATTTCAAATTTGATTTTTTTGCAACAGACGGTCACAAAGTTACACATCGTCACCTAAAACGCAAACGGCCCTATCTAACATTTTTAAAATTTTACAGGAGAAGCACAAAACAATTTTAATTGAAAAGTTTATTTCTATCAACGTGATTTATTAGTAGAAAATAAATAAATTGTTTAATAGTGAAAGTCGACTATTTGAAAATTGTAAAATAGCCTAAAAGTTAAAAGTAGACTTTTCATGGATTGCACAATTTATCAAAATAGTCATAGCAAAATTACACTTCAATTTATAAATTACTACATACATTTGGCTTCGAAATTTTTCAAAACTTTTGTCTTTATCACTTTCTTTTTATTTTGCTTGAGAATCAGGATTTGCGATTTCAGTTTTAAGTAAATTTTGTTGAAAATTAATGAATAAATGTAGTAAATACTTGCAACAGTACAATTTTTACAAAAAAAATGTGTTTTTAATATCACAGCGCTTTATACCACCCACTAAGTTGACAACACTAAAAAAGTTTATAAAGAGCAAGAGAGAATGAGAAAAAAGCCTCGTTGTCTGTCATCTTTTTGGACCTCTTCAATGATTTTCCACTGACAATTTGCTTGCCTTTACTTTACAAACCTGTATTTGTTTAAATAAAGTTGCCGTCTAAAAGAATGTTGTATTAAATTCGAACCATAATTACGAAATTTTGTACGTAACAGCCAACGCGCAGTAAACATTGTAAATTAAATAAATTAAACGAAATTTTGTGTATTAAGTTAATAACAATATGCACACTTAAATTCCATGCTAAATACTGAACTGGTATGAATTCCCACTGTATTGAATGAGTAAATTAAGAAGAACAAAATATGCACTCTTAAAGAAAGAAGAAAAAACAACAACAAATGTTAACCAAAAAAGCTCTTTTAATTAAAAAAGTGGGAATTAAAGAGTTTTTCTTTTTTTTTTACACAAACGACAATAAAAAATTGTTTACATTGTTACCATTCAATAAGTTATTTTATTGAAAGTTTAAATGAAGTATTTCTTATTTAATTATAATAATTAATTTTATTATAGGTATTTTATTCAGTTTATTATTTACCTTTTAATTTTTTTTAGTTTGTTTTCAAGTAAACAGTAATTTTATTAAACTTTTATTAGTTTCACTATTATTTTTGCACTAGATATAAACAACGTGCTCCTCGTTACAACGTTGAAATAAATTTAATTTCACGTTTCGTATTTAACGCGTGCTTTGCTGTGTTTGAAATAAAAACAACAATACAGGCAACGTATTTATCCAAAAGTGTATATAGTTCGCCCGCCATACCTACACATTTATTTATTTATATATACAAATTAAGAAACTTTGATCATATGCTCCAAAATACACTGCGAGAAATAGTAGTATTTATTAAACAGTTATTTTTGAAAGCAATATTTTATAAAAATTTGAATTTTTTAAAAACAATTTATTACAGAAATTTTCTAATTTTTGTTATTTCTTAAAAAAATGCTGGATTTATTTTTAATATTAAATATTAATTAATTTTTAACAGTGTAATTTTCATTGAGTATCCAGACAGTGCTTAGAAAGAATAAATTGTATATGTATCTATCTTTCTATCTACAAGTTAAAATTACGGACGAAAATAAGGGCCGAGTTCAGCTAGTTCTAAATAATTAGTCTATGCAGACCATGCTTTGTATTAAAACAAAAACATAATACTAACGGTGATAACTTAATTTTCTATTAACAAACAATTTTGAAAAACAACGTGTTATTATTACAACACAATGACGCAAGTAATAACACGATACTTAACTTTCAAAATAATAAGATTTGCATTAATCAATAAAAAAATTACATTACGTCAAATTAATTATTAACTAAATATTGCAAATGCCAAGGAATAAATGATGAAATATTTTCAATAATTTACAAAAGTGTGTAATTACAATAATAATTTTCAATCTTGATAAGCAGAGACAAAAAAAAAAAACCTATCAAGGGGGTCCATACCGAGCCTCTTAGAAACAACACACAGCCGATAACGTAATTTGTATTGACGTTGTTTAAAAGAAAAATTAATGTATGTACGATTTACTAGGTCCGTGTTATAAAATGAAATGGTGCTAAGCGTTAAAAAAGAATGAATAACATATTTTTTAATTACAATAATATTGATTGAAAAATATTCCTATAAAAACATGTTTTTCTTAAACAAAAGGTATGATAAGGAATTGGAAATGGGTTTAATAAATAAATTAAATTAAGAAAATGATTATATGTAAACGAAAACAATGCACTTTTGCTAAAAGTATACAAAACGAAATCTAAAATGTTAAACCTAGATTATTTTTAGCAAAAATATAGGCAATTTCTAAAAAAAACATTATACCTATTTAACAGTTTTTTTTTTAAATAAATTTCTGATGTTTAAATACATATTTGAACTTACTTGGTTATAAAGCGCATTTTGATTGTTTATATTGTTGAACTTTGTATGAATTAAAAATAAATTATTTTTTTGTAATATTATTATTTGGAAATTTTATAACACGCGCTAGTTGAATTTTTTTTATTGTTTATTTTTTTATAATAACAATTTAATTCTTAATATCACCGCACTGTTTAAAATACAACGTTGGTTTAAATTTGTCTGAATTTTGCTAGTGCTTTTATAGCAAACCAAACATTTTATATTATAGAGTTGCCTGTATTTTAAAAATTTGTCGCAGCTATTAAATTAAGAATTAAGGTGTACGCCGGACGGAGGACGGACGGACGGAGACGGACGGACGACGACGGACGGACGGACGGAAGGACGGACGGACGGACGGACGACGGACGACGGACGGACGGACGGACGGACGGACGGACGGGACGGACGGACGGACGGACGGACGGACGGACGACGGACGGACGGACGGACGGACGGACGGACGGACGGACGGACGGACGACGGACGGACGGACGGAGACGGACGGACGGACGGACGGAGGACGGACGGACGGACGGACGGACGGACGGACGGGACGGACGGACGGACGGACGGACGGACGGACGGACGGACGGACGACGGACGGACGGACGGACGGACACGACGGACGGACGGACACGGACGGACGGACGGACGGACGGACGGACGGACGGACGGACGACGGACGACGGACGGACACGACGGACGGACGGACGGACGGACGGAGGACTGGACGGACGGACGGACGGACTTACGACGGACGGAGGACGGACGGACGACTACGGACGGACGGACTTACTGACGTACGGACGGACGTACTACGTACTACGTACGGACGACTGACTTACTACTTACTTACTACTACTACTACTTACTACACTACTACTTACTTACTTACTTACTTACTTACTTACTTACTTACATATTACCTAAGAACTTATTTCGTTATTGGTCTCTCTAAAAAATCAAACTTAAGCTAATACGAATGTGAAATTTAATTTCTAGCGATTTTAAGGCAAGCCGTTAAAATATGGCAACTCGATTGCACTTTTCTAGCACATTCCAGTAGACGTAAATAAAATGAAAAAAGGTAAATAATAAAATGTCAAAAATTTCAAGCAGTTAAAAATTTGCAAAAAAAAAACCAGCTAAAAAAGTTTGGACACGATTTTTTTTAGTAAAAACCAACTAGCTAAAACATATACAAATAAATAAAATATTAACTGCAATGAACTTACAGTAAGTTGTAGGATAATAACAAAATGTGTAAAATTTATTTCATATTTTCATTTGTTATTTAGACAGATATCAACATCTGAGCATGTACCCATAATACAACAAATGCAAGAACACCAGCAGCAGCAACAACAAATGTTTTTACCACTAAATAATCCCAGCAGCATGCAACAACCTACTGAAGCGACAGTACATGTTATGCCAACACCGACCACTAATTGGAGTATGGAATCAATGCCTTGGAAAATAACTAAAGCCGATCATACTGGAGATGTAATGGAATTTACAGCGCATGCACCGCATAAGAATAATGCAATGAGACGGGCTTTGTTGCATCAAAAACGAAAGTCAGAGTTTAATGCAATAGGAACATTGTAAGTTTACAAAGTTTATGCTGCCGGCTTAGTCCATGATTTTTTTTTTTTTTTTTTTGACAATGTGAAATAGTACGTTCAGGGCTAATGAATATGAGAGGTATATTATGAAGACTATGATCACAAGCTGAGCATACATCGTAGAGGGCACTTTTTATACGGTCCCATCAGATTTTAAGACTGATGCTTCATATTGACCACTGATTTGCCAGAACCACTATTGTTTTCCACTACATCACAACAAGAAATAAACTAGAACTGAATTGATGTGAAATAAACTAGAACGGAACTAAAAACTAGAACTAAACCAAAAAAAAAAAACAGAACTGAAATAAACTAGAACAGAACTCGAACTGTTCTAGAACTGATCTGAACTAGAGCTGCCCTAGAACTGAACTAGGTGTGAAATTAACTAGAACTGAACTACATCTCAACTAGGACTGAAATAGAACTGAACTAAAACTCAACTAGAACAGAACTATAACTAAACTAGAGCTGAAATTTACTTGAACTGAACTACATCTGAACTAGGATTGAACTATAAGTAGAACTAAACTGAACTACAACAGAAATAGATCTGAGCTAGAACTGAACTGAAATTAACTATACTCGAACTGAAACTAACTAGAATTGAACTAGAAGAATTCTTAAAAAATATATTTTAGTTTTATTACAGTTTTTTCAATTTCTAGCTTGAACAATATTTAATTAATAATGTATTAATTCCATATTTTGAAAAAAACTTTATAATTTTGTTGAATATTTAAAAATTTCGAATTTTTTGATAATTCGAATTTATGTCCGATACATTTTTAAAGCTGTCAAAATAATTTTCAAATAAAACTAATTTAAGGTTTTAGTGATATTTTAATTTTTATTCATTTCATCTTTCCCCTTTATAGACCCATCAAACAATTCATATCGGAAGAGAAAATTACCGCTCATTTTAATGGCTTACATATATCTAGTGATTATATACAACATAATACTGGTAATATAACAGATGACAACGGCGATGAAGTACCCTCCACAAGTGGCAAGTGTTTTTCAAATTTAACCTACGAAGACTATCAAGTAACGGCCAAGGAATTGGAAGAGAAACTACGTAATGCCAATCGTATAACTATGTGTGAAGAGTTGAAAAAATTTAATAATGAACAGAAAAAAGTTTCATATTTTCCCGAGGCACTTCTACATCGTATAAATAAACCCTGTACGGCTTTGGTGTTGTGGCAACCGTCACCGATTATGAATATTTTCAGCAGAAATAATATGAATGAAAATGATAACAAAAGGGATATAAAAGATAACGAAACAATTGAGGATTATACAATTCCCGATGTTGATTTACCGCCCCGAACAGCCGGATGAAATTGATGACTTTATCGATAACAATAATACTTGTAATTTAGATTTTAATAATGTTAAACCCGATAGTATGGATGAGGATTTGTAGTGTGATGTTTTAGTTGAAACGTGTTTGTTTTTCATAAACACTATCCACGTTATTTGCCTATATGAAAATATTGTATGTTAGGATATTTGTTAGTTGATGTCTCAAATATATTTTGAAGACATGTTTTTTCTTTTCATTAAATATAACATGACTGCTGATTTTTAGATATAAACAAATATGTCCTACTATATCTATATTTGAGTTATCCTATTTTTTTATATTAATCTTTTTTAATGTGTATTAATACTTTTTTATATTATTTTATACGACTCGAAATTCGATGATGTGATTCTACTGATACAGAGAACGAAACAAAAAACACAGAAATATTCTTACTTAACAATTAAGCCATGTTTATCATTTAAGTCGCTTGTTTAACAGCTAAAAGTGATTAAATTTTTAAGTAATTTTAAATAATTACATTTAATTAATAAAAAATATATATAAATATATTTGATCAATTATCAAAAGCAGATCGTTTTTACTATACCTGTTTGGAAATGCATCACCTCCATCTGATGATTAGGTTGCGATGCTGAGCCAAATAAACTGATGCTAATTTTATGCATGTGGCCTCCGGTAGGTTAGTGGTTAGTGTTCTAGTCTGGTAGACCGGAGGTGGTGGGTTCGATTCCCACCTGAGGCACTGGTTAAGGAGCGCACAACAGGCCCGATAGAGGCCTAGGTGTATTTCTTCAGATTTGATGTATATACATCCTCCTTTCAAACTAACTATGCATAGGGTTTTACTTATGTAATGTAAAATAATCACCACTATTCTGTATTTCAATTCGAATCGAAATTTTCTCCGTTTGCCAACTTTGGTATTCTGCATTTCGATTCGAAGCTCCGTCATTAAAATAACAACATACAAAAACGTAGTTAGGCTCGTTATGCAGAATACACACAATCGTAAAGCATTGAAATAAAATGGAATTGCTTCTTCTTTTTCTTACGATTCCGTGTTTTGTTGGAATACATATTTTCGATCGTATCGTAACTGAATGCGGAAACGTAATCGAAATGAAGAATAGGGGTGGAATATGAAATGAATTATAAATTAAATATCTAATCATTTATCTCATCAGCCTTTCTTATATGGGGAGCTTTGCCTCTTTTGCGTAATTAGCGAAAAAAAGTATTATCTTCAAAAATGTATTGAAAAATCGCGAATTTATTCGAATCCAGCGCTTCCTCATTTCTAGGGTTTCTGCATTTCAATTCGAAAAACCAACTTAAGTGCGTAAGTGCGTGCGTTTCGTAAGTAAGTAAGTAAGTAAGTAAGTAAGTAAGTAAGTAAGTAAGTAAGTAAGTAAGTAAGTAAGTAAGTAAGTAAGTAAGTAAGTAAGTAGTAAGTAAGTAAGTAAGTAAGTAAGTAAGTAAGTAAGTAAGTAAGTAAGTAAGTAAGTAAGTAAGTAGTAAGTAAGTAAGTAAGTAAGTAAGTAAGTAAGTAAGTAAGTAAGTAAGTAAGTAAGTAAGTAAGTAAGTAAGTAAGTAAGTAAGTAAGTAAGTAAGTAAGTAAGTAAGTAAGTAAGTAAGTAAGTAAGTAAGTAAGTAAGTAAGTAAGTAAGTAAGTAAGTAAGTAAGTAAGTAAGTAAGTAGTAAGTAAGTAAGTAAGTAAGTAAGTAAGTAAGTAAGTAAGTAAGTAAGTAAGTAAGTAAGTAAGTAAGTAAGTAAGTAAGTAAGTAGTAAGTAAGTAAGTAAGTAAGTAAGTAAGTAAGTAAGTAAGTAAGTAAGTAAGTAAGTAAGTAAGTAAGTAAGTAAGTAAGTAAGTAAGTAAGTAAGTAAGTAAGTAAGTAAGTAAGTAAGTAAGTAAGTAGGTAAGTAAGTAGGTAAGTAAGTAAGTAAGTAAGTAAGTAAGCATGTAAGTAAGTAAGCATAAGAAGTAAGTAAGTAAGCATGTAAGTAAGTAAGTAAGTAAGCAAGTAAGTAAGTAAGCAAGTAAGGAAGTAACTAACAGCATTTATTTATTTTTTATTTTTATTTCATATAGGTATATTTGATTTTTTGTCAAATATGATTGCTTGACGGCCTCAAAAGCGTTAAACCAAAATCTACTACTAAATTCAACTAGTACTAACTAAAAGCAACAATGTGCCCAATAATGCCTACGTTTCAAAACCAAAATGTTCCCCAATCAAATGTTTGCTGTCAAATTCACTCTTTTTTTAGGCTTTTTGCAAAGTATTTCATTTTCATTCATGGCATTGCCATTGAAAGGTGTGGACGTGTGATCGGTGTGCGCTAACAGTGAATTTGTAATTTTTTTCTCCAAATTTGTCGTATCAACATAATAACGAGCAAATAATAATACATTTTTCATACTTTGTGCAAAAAAAAAAGAACACGCAGCTAAAAAAAGTTTTTCATCAATCAAGAAAAATAATAAGACAATTTTCCTATGAACGAGGTGATTGATAGCGGAAAACTTTTATATTCTAATATAGATAATCAATTTTTGGTAATAAATATTAAAAAAAATTAATTCCGATTTGTAGCAAACAAAATTAAGTGTACTTTAGAAAAAAATTAACCAACTACTTAACTCTATATGAGGGTATATATATCATTTTGTCTATAGAAAATAAAAAACAAAGTGAATTAACATAGTGTAATCATACACACACACATATACATAAGTACAATATACGAGGCTTAAAGAAAAAGAAAAATTGAAAATCTCGTCATCGTCGTCATCACTAAGAGTGAGTGAGCAAGTGAGTGAGTGTGAATACTAACTAAAACAACAAAAGAATATAGACAAGTGTAGAACAAAAAATGTATTAAAAAAAACTTCAATTAAAAATTTAAAATATTTTTAAACTTTTTTTAAACGACATAATTGTGAAAAATATTTTTGTATTTACACATTTTTTTTGATATTTTATCCAAAGTTTTTTTTTTTTATCATAAGGAAGTAAAAATCTGCAAAAAAGAATATTTAAATCGCTTAAATACTGAAACTGACCAATTAAAAAATAGGTTTGAGTTGAATTTAAGAGGCGTGTGTGTGACATATTTTATATAAATACATACAAAAATATTCATAAATAAATTTTGAAAAAAATAAAATAAATTGTTTTTAAATGCTGCAGCATGTTCTTAATCTTAAAACAAAACAAAAAGAAAATAATAAACACATTGTATCGGATCAAAAAAAAAATGCAAATAAAAAAGAATCGTCATAATATTCGTTTAAATAAATTTCGTTTTCAGTTTTATTTACTAAACATACACACGTACGTACAACACTTGAAGACCCCCCACTCCCATAAAGCGTCCATCCGTCTCTCAATAGATACACATTGTACCAGTGCCATTAACAGACTGAAGCTAACGTATTCTCGTTGACCTGTGAAATAATATCATCAAATATAGAATAGAGAATACTAACATGCATATCAGGCATGGAACATTAAAATTTTGAAATTGTAAAAATGTTTTTCAAATTAATACTTTTTTCGGATTCAAAGTACAGAATAACATTTTAAAGCTTTTTGATTTAAAGATTTTTGAACAAATCTATTAGTTAGAGTAAGGACTAGCCGGTGAACTTGTCTAATTACTAGTCTGCGTACTGATCATTGAAGTAGTATGACAAGCCTATTGACTAATCTCTGGACTTGTACTTGACTAGTGTATAAACTACCATATTGATTAGTCTATTCACTAGTCTATTGACTTGTATATTGACTAGTCTATGGATGGGTCAATTGACTACTCTATGGTCTAGTCTATTGATTAGTTTCTGGAGTAATCTATTAACTGGTCTTTGGACTAGTCTATGGCCTATTGACTAGTTTATGAAATAGTCTATTGAGTCTATAAACTAGCCCATTGACTAGTGTATGGAGTAGCCTATTGACTACTCTATGGACTAGTCTATGGCCTATTGTCTACTCTGTGGACTATTCGGCTGACAAGTCTATTTAATAGTCTGTTGACTAGTTTACGAACTATCACATTGACTTAGTCTATTATCAAGTTTATGTGCTATTTTGAGCAAAAGATAAGAAAAAGTGCTTAAGTGATAAGAGCCATGAGGGTACTGCGATATTTTTCTATGTCAAAACGTTCTGAAAAAAATACAATACTACTTAATTTTCCATGCCTGATGCATATGCTTGTAGCCAGTCAGTCAGCTAAATAACAACAAAACTGTGTTGGTTGGTTAATAACACGGGGATCCATTTGAGAAACGAATCGAAACGAAACAAAAGTCTCAACCAACAAGATATTTTATTATTTACTTGTATTACGCGTAATAAATTATGGTGTATCGTTGAAAGGTTGGAAATAAAATTAAATAAGCCGGTTTGTGCTTAAGGAGAAATACTGCATTTAAAAAATGCGTAATTTGGGAATGAGTAAATTTAGAACGATTTTCGGTCTATAAGTCTACTTATATGCGGTTTGACAACCGGTATTAATTTTCGCTAAAAATTCTTTGGTTGCATGGATATTTTATATTTTACTTATTTTGAGGTGAGCATGCATAATATATCAAATCCGAAGAAATGCATCATGATCACGTTTTCGCTGTGCTGTTGTGCGCTCCTTTGTAAAGATGTTATCATCCGATGTTCAGAAACTCAATTTCCTGGACGAAATTTCTTAAAATGTTTTCCAATCTGAAATAACTAATTTCGACGAATGTCTGGCAATGACAAAAAAGTGTAACAGGGTCTCACTTTCCGCATGCTCCACCTTCATCTCAATCCACTCGTCCAATTTTGCAGGGTTGTGCCCGTATTCCTGTGTATCCACTGTGAATACGCATCATATTACTAACCTTAGATTTGCTTATTATGAGGGGTTGTGGCCATATTCCTGTGTATCGACTGTTATGAGTTATCGCAATACCAGAGTAAAGAGGTGTTATCTCAGAACTTAAAGGTATGAGTTTTAAACTCGGGGGTAAACACAAGACTTTGAAGGCGAAATCGGGGAGGAGAAATTTGGCTTAGTACTGCCAAATATATCTCTAGGCGTTGTTGACGAAGCAACAGTTGTCATCTCATAGGTTTGGCTGAGAGCCAGCGCTTTAAGAATGTCCTGGAATATGTTGGGTTTCTGATATTTTAAAGTTGGAACAGTTGTAAGTATAGTCTTTGGTTTGATTGACTGCAGTGCTCTTTGCACCACTAAAGGACGATCAGAGCCTTTTAAGAGCACCCTGCGTTTAAAATAAACCACTGTGTGGTTAAGTCCTAGATAATAGGTACTGGACTTCTTAACCAACTCAAATATTCGTCTGGACATTATTAATTATGTATATATCGACGCGTAAATCTGATTCATTGACGAATTCTCTTTACATGAGAAATATGATTTTTGTACGGTAGTTTTTTTTTAAGACCGATAAAATTTTGGCCCCTTCTTCGAGAATTGCTGGCCATATGTCACGAAAACCAAGAAAAATGTTGGCCTCCAGGACGTCAATAGTTTTTTATTTATGAGCATAAACTAATTTGGCAGAGATAATAAATGTCAAAAAACGGTAGTTTAACACATTCGTAACTTAAATTGGGCTTAAAAACACATATATCCATGGCCAAGCCTGTGTTAAATAATTTACTTCTTATAACCTCTTGTATCATTGCTACTTAGATATTCATGTGACCAATTTCAATAAACCATAACAACACAGGTATTAATATCTGACTGGAACATGAGATGAAACGAATTGGAATGAAATATTTAGTTCTGTATTTCCGAGAAATTTATGAACTCACAGACATCCGTGCGTAAAGACCCATCGTACGTTGTTCTAATTAGTTAAATCAGATATTCTTCGATTCAGGATTACAATGAAGTATATAACAGAGGTTTAACCTTAAATTTTAAGCCAATAAATAGGATCTTCAGATGGCATAACAAATTTTATAAATAAAGATGACTTTGCGCGGTTACAACATTATATGAACACTGGGGGTTTTAAGTTTAAGCGAAGATAACTTGAAAACCTGATTCTATTGCCATTTTTAAGGTCAGATTTAGTTATTGGCCTTTTGGATTAAACATTTATTGGCTTGTATTATTCTCCCATAAAAAGTCCATCATCAAGGTTATATTTGACATTGATGGCGAGTTAATGGATTTGGATTAATTTTCAACACTTATGGCAACAGCCACATTATCGTCGGTATGCATCGTTCAACGACACGTATTATGAGTATTGTTTACTAGCTAGAACTTTTGCGTATATCGGTCGAAACAAATCTTTTCTTCTAACATTTCTTTATAAGCTTGCAATATTTCCACCATTTTTTCTGGGGAGGTATGATACTGATATTCTAAATATCGAATATATAAAATCCATCAGCGTCAAAATAACATGATTTCGGAAATATGCTTATGGAAAAAGCACTAAACTAATGTCCCTGTAGTTCGGGAATGCGTTGCATAAGTTTTCTTTTAAATGTGACGGACGAAAGTATGTATTGTGTGATGGGTTGTATGGAGTTATGGTATACTGTTCTGGTGTTATCGATAAAATTTCGTTCTTTGTCAGAGAATGTTCATACCAGACTTACCACAGTATTTCCCATATGAGTAAGGAACAAGATCTTGGCTTATTTATGGATATCGAACTCCGATCCTAAAAATAGGTGCTTTTCCATCGTCAACCATGTACAAAACTACCAACTGCTTCGACCGACTTTTTGTCAATTTAAGAAAAGTCGATTTCTCAATTTTGAAAGTATACATATTCCGAGTTGAAATCAGTTTTCAGATGACCTCAGAAATTTGTAAGATCCGAATCCGAATTCCCTTTATCAGAACTGCTTTCGAGAAGTTCGCTGAGCAGAATTCCGAAACAAAACAAAAATCTAACACGAAAATGTTGTATATATAAACAAATTATTCCGAGATTAGCTTCCATATAAAGTCAATTTTCGAAAATCACTTAATCGTATATAAATAATGAATTAATAATGCTATTGGGACAATATAATACTCGAAGTCATTCCGTGAAAGTTTTCCCGATCGACATAGAATTGGTCATAGCTTTCAAATAAAACATAAACAAGTAAGAGTGCAATATTCTGAATGCTGCCCTATAAACATCAGGGATATTGCTCATCAAATTTACTGAGGAGGACCTTATATGAGAGGTAGGGTGAATTATTGACCGATCAACATAAAATTTGATAAAGAGATTTTGGCTCACATGGAACTTATGTGTGTCGAATTTCATCGCTATACTCGTATTTTTAAGACAGTAATTAACGTTAAAGTCATTTTCTGAAGGGGACCTTATTGGGCGATAAGGTCATTTATGGACCGCTCTGCATAAAATTTGGTAGAGAGGTTTTGGCTCCTAAGAGACTTACTTATGTAAAATTTCATAGCTATACTCGTATTTTTAAGCTAGTAATGAGGGTTCATGTCATTTTCTGAAGGGGACCTTATAAGGGGGGTGGGGTCAATTATTGACCGATCCATATAAAATTTGGTATAGAGATTTTGACATTCGCATGAAACTTAAGTGTGTCGAATTTCATCGCTATATTCTAATTTTTAAGCCAGTAATGAACAATGGGCGGTAGGGTCAATTATGGACCTATCCTAATAATCTGGGTATAAATATATGTTTTAGACTTTATCGCACCTTTCGTCTTTTCCGACTTCTTTTAACTTTTGTTTAGAAAGTCGACTTTTTCACACAAAATAGTCCATTTACAAACTATTTTTTTTAAACAAAATAGTCGATTTCCAATTTTTTTGACAAAAAGCCGATATTTCGAAAATTAATTTATAGAACCCAAAAATACCTAGATTTACACTAAAGAGGCAAATGACTTCCTCCCCCTCAACAATATAAACATACGAGTTGTTTAAGGAATGTAAGGAAGTATTTAAAAGAGATACATAGACTCCTAAAGCAGCAGGGATTTGCTGTAAATTTATTTTGCATCCCTTTAGTACACGTATAGAGAAAAACTTAAGAGTCCTTCCTTGTTTGGAATTTTTGAGTGTATTCTTCGCAATAGTGTGTGTGTGTACGCGTGAGTGTATTTTTAAATGAAACAATATGAAAACGGTCTGACATTAAAATACACAGTACAAATGTGATATTGTACAACAAACAATCAATTCAGTTTATTCAGACGCTTCGTTAGATATAGACTTGTGCTGTGTGTTTGCGCTATTAAATAGCTCTGCTTACGATATTTTTGTATTCGGGTCGTAACCATTTTTGTAAAATAGAAAGAAACAACAACAAAAAAACACCATCACTTACTAACCGACCTGCGGTAATGATAAACGCGATAATAGTTTTAACGTTATTTATTAAATATAATAATAAAATTTAAGTTAAATAATACAAATAAAACATAAACAAGTCTATCAGTCAGTTTGACGTTGTAAGTGATTTGTTTTTGACATTTAAGTGTGTTTGTTTTTGACATTTTATAGGGTGAATTGTAGAAAAAAATATGTTTTATTTTATTAAAAATTAAAATTGTTGAATAAAAAAAATTTATTTATTAATTTTACAGTCTAGCATAAATCATTGGATCGGGTTATTTACATACATACATATGTACATAGATATGTCGTCTGTGTAAAGATACCACAGCAAACATCATTATTTTTACCTTTTATGCAAAGAATTTTAAAATAAATGTGATTTGGTTAAGAAAAAAAACATAAAAGTAAAAGAAACAAGTTAAACTTCTCTCAAAAATAACAAGTACTTAAAACGTAACAAAAAAAAAAGAAGTTAAATTTAAGCTGTGGCGATGTCCGAATCAACGGAATCGCCAGGAAAACAACAAAAGGCAACGCAACGACGCCAGTTGGTAAGTTTTTTTTTTCAATTTAAAACATTTTTTTTAATTAAAATATGTTTTCTTTAAAAAAATTTGTATTAAATTTATAAGTGTTATCATAATATCTAGTTTTTTATGTTGTTTTTATAATTTATGATTTGTATGTTAATTGAAAGTAAATAATATAATTTGTAATAAAAAAAATGGAAATATATATAAAAATATATATATATGTATGTATATGTGCAGTGCGTACGCGCACTTTATAACTGTGCAGCGTAAAAAATTTTTCGTTTTTTTTTTTTAAGAAAAATTAAATGAAAAATACTCTATACGCCGCGTTACTCATGTTAACAGGAACGCTTTTGGTAGCGTAATGAAACGACCAAACTAAACTCACTAACGCCGCATGACGAATTCTTTTCGCTTTTTATTGTGATTGTTGTTTTTTCACATTTCTATTCCACGTTGTTTGTCTTCTTCTTTATCAAATATTCGCTTTCGTTTGACTGTGACTTTTTAGTGTTCGCTCAACGACCATCAGTGATGGGATTCGAAAATGTTTTATTTTTGTGTAAAATTGTACCAAAAATTATTTTTTTATACATATGTATATAAGTACCTCTATCGCCAATGGAAGTGAAAATTTGGTCCCTTAAAATGTTCTTTCCCCTCAAAGGGAAATTGCTATCGTGAACTCATTCATTTTGTTTGTAACAGCTGTTCGTTTTTTATAAAATTCTATCAAAAAATTTCACAACAGGTGAAATTTTTTCACGTCAAAAAAGTTACCCGCGTTGAATCGACTTCAAATTTCGGGGTTATAAGGAAAAATTAGGTCCTATCACAACATTTTACTCGGGTCATTTTGGTGCAAAAAACTTCCGCGCCAAATGGACTTTAGATTTAGGCACAACGCTTACTATATAACTTTCGAATAAGTATGAATTAAGTGGATCCGACAAACTTTTTGAGGGGTGTGTAGTATTTATCGACGGATCCAAGATACAGGTGCCGGTTCTACATTGTTGACATGGACATATTTTTCCTTTTTTTTATAGAAAATTTATCTTTTTTTCAGAAAATTTTTCAAATAAAGTATCTTGTTTTAAATTTTTTAAATATAACTATTTTTTTTTATAGAAAATTTGTGAAATAATCCTTTTTTATTTGAAATTTTTTAAATTTTCCTTTTTTTATAGAAAATTTTTTTAAACTTTTCTTTTTTAAGAAAATTGTTTTAAATTGTTCTTTTTTTATAGAAAAATTTTTAAATTTTCCTTTTTATTTTTTGAAGATTTTTGTTTTTCGCTGCATATCGCCTTTATGTTACTGTTTTAAACGTCGCGATTTTGCTCTTCATATCTTAAAAAGAAACAAGATATATCAGAGATTTAACCTTTATTTTGAAGCCAACGGAAAGTACTTTCAGTACGTTATAAACAATTTTATAAATAAAGGTGACATCGCGCTGTTATAATATCTTTAATATGATTAAATTAGGATAATTTTGTTGAAAATATTAATGTTAGATCTTTCTAATAGATAGTTCCTGAGAAAGGGGAGAAAATTTCGATTCGAATTTAAATGCAGAATAAGAGGAATAACGAATCACACAAGGTGAATAGACTATAAGGTGAAGTCATTTCATTTTGCGGCTAATTCATGAAATTTTTTATATATGTAGTTTGATAGCGTCGGAGAATTTGAGAGAGAATTTTTTTATATGGAGTTTGGCAGCTTCGGGCTAAATTTCCATGTACAAAAAAAAACAATCAGCTGTTGAAATGACTTCACCTTATTAGTTTCGCCATGAATCACATGTTGCCTTATATTCTCTACTAATATCTATTGTCAACTATCACTACTCCTCTACTTATAAAAATCATATATAGTTACGTTTGGCATGACACAGGAAAGTGTACTTTTGTAACCAACGTACCACCACTCTTACAAATTAATATTTTTTATATTATGTTGATTTTGGTTTTGTATGCGATTTTTTCCAATTTTGTTTTACATTATTTTCTTCTCTCTCAATTGTTTAATTGATAGTCTCACTTATGAATACTAAGGCACACACTACTATTTACTCACTCGTGTTATCAGAAAATGCAATATGGGTTTAAAAAGTAAATCTATTGAAAATATTTCTAGGTGTAATTAACTCTACCTACCTACAGTTTTGGGAAATTCGATAATGTTTATAATTTTAGCCTATTAAGGGCATTATAACAGTATAAAATGGAGTGTTAAGATTTTTTTAGTATTTAAAAAAATGTTATAAATTTATATGAATATATTATTAAGTGTAACCGGTATTTCTGACAGTATGATCCCTCACTAATCGAAATAAAATTTTAAAATTTAAACCAATATCTTACAATCGCACGAAACCTATTTCAAACCATATCAAATATTTGCACAATTTTGATTGATATCGACCAGAGTCTGTATCTATTTTTGAACGGAACAATGGGCACAAAATATCTTTGTGATTTAACAATAACAATATTTGTACTTATATTTTATCTTTTATCGAATGTTTACAGCAAATATAAAATTGACAATTTATTAATGCAATAATACTTGTGATGTTTGTGTTAAATATTGCCCTTTTTTCAATAACAACACTCTTTCGTATTTAACCACAAAAAAATACACATATAGAATGGGTTTTAGCATATAGAAATGTGTTGTGCTGTGCATTACCTGATGTACAATTTATAATTTCGTGCTAAAATATTAACAACTACTATAGGTATAATATGCTCTCAAGGTCCTAAAAGTTCTCTTCAATATTTCATTTAAACCAAATGTAATGAATTGAAAAGTTGTTGCTTCTACCGATGATGATGATACACACGATTACAAAGAACTTGCAAAACAAGTTTGTTATTATGAGCATAAAATCAAATGGAAAAAAAGTGCCAGGACATACAGTTGTGGAGAAAATAATATACTAGTGACTATAAGAATTATTCTCGACTAGACTAGTTAATAGAATATTCCATAGATAGATAGATAGATAGATAGATAGATAGATAGATAGATAGATAGATAGAGAGATAGATAGATAGATAGATAGATAGATAGATAGATAGATAGATAGATAGATAGATAGATAGATAGATAGATAGATAGATAGATAGATAGATAGATAGATAGATAGATAGATAGATAGATAGATAGATAGATAGATAGATAGATAGATAGATAGATAGATAGATAGATAGATAGATAGATAGATAGATAGATAGATAGATAGATAGATAGATAGATAGATAGATAGATAGATAGATAGATTGATAGATTGATAGATTGATAGATAGATAGATAGATAGATAGATAGATAGATAGATAGATAGATAGATAGATAGATAGATAGATAGATAGATAGATAGATAGATTGATAGATAGATAGATAGATAGATAGATAGATAGATAGATAGATAGATAGATAGATAGATAGATAGATAGATAGATAGATAGATAGATAGATAGATAGATAGATAGATAGATAGATAGATAGATAGATAGATAGATAGATAGATAGATAGATAGATAGATAGATAGATAGATAGATAGATAGATAGATAGATAGATAGATAGATAGATAGATAGATAGATAGATAGATAGATAGATAGATAGATAGATAGATAGATAGATAGATAGATAGATTGATAGATAGATTGATAGATAGATAGATAGATAGATAGATAGATAGATAGATAGATAGATAGATAGATAGATAGATAGATAGATAGATAGATAGATAGATAGATAGGTGGTGTAAATATAAAGGAATAAAATATTCTTGATATTCAGGGCATGAGAATATAGTGCTGTTCATGTTAGATGGCTTCGAAATAAGTTTATCTAAGTAGTGGAGCCAACTTTTTAAAGACGTTTATTGAAAGCAGGCTTTGGTAGAAGGAAAATACTCAGGAAATAATGAAAACGGATCTTAGGTTAGGTTGATAGGAGGATGTATAATACATCAAACCCGAAGAAAGACACTTAGGCCACTATCGGGCCTGTTGCGTACGATCCAAAACGGATCTTGCTTTATACTATTTTCTTAAGAAACTGAATCGGCATAACTTCTAGCTTGAAACCCTCTGGTAGTCCATCTTTTTCCACTGTTCTTTTTTCTTTATGTTCTTTTTGTTTTCTAAATTTTTTTTGTCTATTTCTGAATTTCCCCTTCGTACGAAGGAAATTACAATAAACTTTTAAGTTTCCGAGTGGAGTTGCACTTTTTTATGGGACTTAACTTTGGGGAGACTTTATATTGAGGCTTCTGGAATATTAAACATAATTATGAGCTCAAATTTCCTATTGGAGGTGTACGATTGTATTAGGGCTAGGTGAAATAATAGACCGATTTCAGCCAATTTAGTCCTTAGGTAAAAAGAAGAGTCCGTGCGATTATGATTAAATTATCTTAAAAATTGCATACTGTAGCGAGCGCACATGATTTACATGGACACACAGCCGATTAGCAAACATTAAGGTGGGTGTATTTTTGTGTGTTACAAACATCAGCACAGGCGCATAATAATAGCATTCCCATTATATTGGTGTAGGGTATAATATTTTATCTATTTTGAAGATATTGATCACATATTTCACACTTTAAGAAGATATAATTTTGCTTGTTCAAAATCACCTAAAAATATTGCGTCTAAAATAGTACATTTATGTTAAAAATAAACATTCCTATTCATTCTATGTAGGAGGCATATTTTCCTTTAAAATATGCAAAAAAAATTAAATTTATATATGATGAACAATGAATATTATCAATTATATGATATTCAATACTAAAAAACGGAAAAATAACTTTATATTTATACATATGTACTTATGTATATGTATATTTGTATAAGCTTTTACGTAAATATTTATTATACAATAAGGGTATAACCAAATATCTGGCAAATTGCCCAGCAAGGGAAATTAAGTTTTCTTGAATTATTTTGAAAACAAGTAACGTGGAAGTAACTTCCTTAATATCTATGGAAAAATCTCATTCTAATAAATTTTCTACAAACCTAATCTGTATTAACAAAATTTTAAAAGTTATACCCCTAATCTGCATATTTATTTTTACTGTATCTTAATAAACATCATTAAAATTTGTGTCCTTCTTCCTACTAGTAGATAATATAAGAGACTAAGTAAAATGGGTTAATTTTGAGTATGACGCGGTATTGTTACGCCATTGTTCTGTTAAATTTCTTACTGGAGGTTGGGGGTTTGTATGTGTATCCACTATATAGCAACAGCAACAGAACCATATGTCATAAATGGGAAAATTGAGCAAACTTTATTGTAGAGGGTTGCTCAAAATTGCACAATACATATGAAAGTAAGAATGTATGTATGTATGTACATATGTATATTGTGGAAGGTTTTTTTTTAGCGCGCTTTATTTACATAATTCGTATAAATATACGAAGACTACATGAGGTAGGAATACATTTTTCATAGAACATTATCTTACTCCACATCTATCCTGTATGAAGTTTGGTAGACAAATGATATGTGGAATTGAAAAAGATTAGAAAGAAAATCTATGTATTTCAACTTTACCATTTTTGTATCGTTCCTCATGGAAGACGATTGCAAGCAGTGTTGCTAATTTTTTCCACGTTAAATCGTTTTACAAAAACCGCTAGCCACTAGAAAACGTCAAAATTAAACAATAGCTGGAAATTTTCTAATTTACCAAATAAAGAATTTTACAAAAAACAAGACTGTAGACTATAGACTAGACCATACACAAGACTATAGTATAGACTATAGAATAGACTAGACTATAAACAAGACTATAGACTAGACTAAACTAAAAACTAGACTATAGACTATATTATAGAATAGACTAAAGACTAAACTGTAGATTTGACTATAGATTAGACAAGACTATATACTAGGGTGATCGCCTCGGTTTTTCAACCGGTTTTAAAACCGGTTTTTTCTGCTTTACCAGTGTCGGTTTTTTCTAAATGTTGATTTTTCGAATATCGAATAACCCGGTTTTTTTTACTTTTTAAAACCCGGTTTTGAATACTTTTATTTGCTTTGTATTCAAAGATTACTTAAATTAATTTTTGAAGTAAATAATAATACAGCCCGTCTAAATTTTAAAAATATTGGGGTACAGGAACTAGAGTATATTTTTCTAAAGCACCTTTGGTTAAACTTTTTTGATTTTATTAATTAATTAACAAATTTTATTTGTAAAATTGATTGGAATAACTGCTTGATAAAATTTTACCAATCTTAAGATTATATTCCTATAACAATAATTAATTTGAAATATTATGGAAGTGTTGGAATGCCTATGAAAATTGCCTAAGCAGGGATTTTAGAATAAGCTAGGATTACAAAGTTCCTTATGTTTAACAGAAGTGTCCCACTTTTTTCCTAATTTTTTTATATTAAAGAAATAATGTAAATCAGACGACTAAATCTAAAGTTATAATCTTTTAAACTGTTAAAAATCAGTTCGGGCCATGTTTTATTAATCAAATTTAAACATAAACGTTAATTTTTTCAAATTAAAATAGATTTTTTTTATTTATAATGAAAAACCGGTTAACCGGTTTTTTCTGAATTTGAAAAATATCAACCGGTTTTTTTCAAATGTCAACTATTGGAACTATTCGAAAACCGGTTTTTGGAAAATGTCTATAATACTATACTATAGGCTATACTAAAGACTATATTATAGAATAGAATAAAGACTAGACTGTAGACTTGACTATAGATTAGACAAGACTATATACTATAGGCTAAACTATAGACTAGACTATACACTAGACTAGACTATAGATTAGACAAGATTATGGTCTAAACTAAAGACTAGACTATACACTAGACTAGATCATAGACTAGGTTACACTAAAGAATAGACTATACATTCCAGCAATGGTCTTGATTTTCGACGCTATTTTTCCATTAGCTAATCTTTCCAGCGCTCTACCATGCCGGTAAATTTCCTGCATTCTGAAAGATTGCTAATACTACTAATCCCCAAAAATGGAGTCTCAAAAACCCGGAAATTGTAATTTGTTCTTCGCGTTCCAAAGTTATGGAAAATATGCTAAACTACCATATTATACAGTATTTAGAGTCATTTATAGCGGTCGTTCTACGGTATTACGAAATTAAAGTGGAGACTCTAGATATCTCTGAAGCGTTGGATCAAAACTAATTGCTCTCTCAATATCGAGCGAAGTACAAATGGGATCTCATCGAAAGAATTCACAATAAATTCAGGGGTACCACAAGGCTCAATTCTTTCTCCTGCTCTATTTCTTATCATTCTAAATGACCTTCAATGCAGATGACACAACACCATCTGCAGGATGTTCAGGGCATAAGAAGACAGTGTGATGTTCGGTTTTTTAAAACGGTGTAACAAAGACATATTTCACTACATCTGATTATCTACTCCACTTATATCCATCATAAAATGGGAGACAACTCTCATGTATTGGCCGATATTTCGAAGTTTATTTTATGGCTACTGGACAGCATAATGGAGAGGTTCTTATCGGTGATAGCACTCTCGCAATGTGGGTTGTGTGCTACTGTTCTATCGAAACTCGCACATTTAAACGTGTGGGCGATTAGCCAGTGAATCGCATTGAGTGAATAGGGGTCATCACCTGATTTCTGCTCCAAGAAAAAATATTATTATCTATGTTTTAATTTAATATACATATAAAAGCATACACAATAAAATTGAGTTCGCATTTTTTGAATATAGGGTGACAATATAGCCCTAGTTGAGAATCGTTTTTTAAAAAATTGTTTAAGTCGTTTTTTCAACACTGAAACAAAGTGAAAGAGAGAGAGAGAGCGACAAATATTTGAGAGTATCACATTGCAATGTTTCAATTCATTTTGTTTCATTAGTTCCGGTATTAATTTATTTCCGGTTGCTTTAATTTAATATTTACATTTCTTCTATGTACAATTTAAACAATACAAATACATTTTCTGTTTTATTTATTTTAGCGTGAACGAAAGGAACGTAAACAATATTTAGAAGAATGGGGTTTGGGTGATGAGGATTTGGAGGGTGCAAGAGGTTTTAGTGTTGCTGAAAAGCTGGAATCAGCTAAATTTGCACAAACTGGAATGGTACGCGAAATGCGTGGTAGTGATTTAAATGTCGCGTAAGTAATGCTTATTATATAAAATATGTTTATACATTTAATGCAGTCTGCAGACTTAATCTTTTACTAATACTACTTTTTTTTCATAATAAACTTTCAGTTTCTTGCAACAGTATGGCTTTAATATACCATTATTATTTCGCGACAAAACTGGTTTGGGCTTACGTATGCCAGATCCTAATGAGTTTACAATAAACGATGTGCGTTTATGTGTTGGTTCTCGTCGCATACTAGATGTTATGGACGTTAATACACAGAAAAATCTACAAATGACCATGAAAGAATGGCAACAGTATTATGATAATCCACAAAAAGATCGTTTACTTAACGTTATATCGTTGGAATTTTCCCATACGCGTCTCGATAGCTATATACAAAGTCCCGATATTGTTAGACAAATTGATTGGGTCGATGTTGTCTGGCCCAAAAGTCTAAAGGATGCTCAAAGGGAGGGTACAAATCTTTTGGGTAATATGATGTATCCAAAAGTGCAAAAGTATTGCCTGATGTCGGTTAAAAACTGTTATACCGATTTTCACATTGATTTCGGCGGTACTTCGGTGTGGTATCACATATTAAAGGGCAGCAAAGTATTTTGGTTAATACCTCCAACAGAAAAGAACTTACAGCTATATGAAAAATGGGTTTTATCGGGCAAACAAGCTGATATTTTCTTTGGTGATACAGTGGAAAAGTGTGCTCGTGTATATCTAACGGCCGGTAATACATTCTTTATACCCACTGGTTGGATACATGCTGTATATACACCCACTGACTCTTTAGTATTTGGTGGAAATTTCTTGCATTCTTTCGGCATTGTTAAGCAATTGAAAACGGCACAAGTTGAAGATGCCACAAAGGTACCGCAAAAGTTTCGTTATCCTTTCTTTACGGAAATGTTATGGTATGTTTTGGCACGCTACGTTTACGTACTGCTAGGGCATTCACATTTAGAGGGTGAACCATCCATTGAGGAGAATGAAATGGCTTCAAGACCTCACATTCACCTTACCCATTATGAGCTGTTTGGTCTTAAAGAAATTGTCATGTATTTGTATGATTTACCACCGAATAAGAAGAATGTACCCGAGCTGGTACGTGATCCGGTTGCATTAATAAAGGATGTGCGCACCTTGGTGGAGAGACATTGTAAAGATAAACCCGACATGGCCATAACTGGTGAATCAGTGTTAAAACCTCCCGGCTTAATGCATCCCATATTCCAAGAGTATGATCGTGCACGTGTTAAGCAAGAAATTAAGCAAGAGATAGCTAGAAAAAATGCTGAAATCATACGGGAACAACAGCAAATGAATCGAGAGCAACAAGCAGCAGACTGCTTGAATACCACTCCCACCACACATTTGGCGTTTAGCGGCACAACAACAGTAACCACGGATAATGGTATTACCATTAAAAAGGAACCTATAGAAAATGGTAATATCCAGCAGTCAACACAACAGCAACAGGAGCAACAACAACAGCAACAGCCTACATTTGTTTCGCCCACAGATAATATAAAATATCGACCTCCAAAGAAAATGCATTTGGCTAATGCTGTGGCGGCTGCTGCCAACAACAATATCAACAACAGCAATAATAACAATGCCGTTAGCGTCATAGCATCTTGTTCTAGTTACAATTCAGTTCATACACAAATTCTGCCTCCTATACAAACATCACATGCTCCCAGCAGCAGTTCAACTGACAATTGTCATTCTCCTGGCGAATCATCCAAGATATCACCAAATGTTACCGGTTTAGGACAGCCACGTCGAAGACGCACTCGTTGTAAAAATTGTGCTGCTTGTCAAAGATCCGATTGTGGTGAATGCAGCTTCTGTTTGGATATGGTTAAGTTTGGAGGACCCGGTAGAGCTAAACAAACATGCATGATGCGCCAATGCTTGTCACCCATGCTACCCGTTACAGCCCAATGTGTATTTTGTCATTTAGATGGTTGGCGACAGACGCCCGTCTCACCACAAACTAAACAATTGGCTTCTATAGATGGTCCATCATCGTTGATGGAATGTTCGGTTTGCTATGAAATTGCTCATCCTGATTGCGCTCTCTCCTCCCTAGATGGTACCGAATATGCAGCCGATGCTAAGGGTATAGTTAATGAGGATTTGCCAAATAGTTGGGAATGTCCCAGTTGTTGTAAATCGGGGAAAAACAATGATTATAAGGTAATAAATATGTATATTCCCTCAATAAGATTATAAGTATTTGTACACTTCACCTCCCTAAGAATAGTCTATAAAAGTTTATCATTCCGTTTGTAATTTCTTCAATATAAGTTTCCGATCCTATTATGTTATATTCTGAGTCTTTATATATAGTGGAGTCGATTTAGACTTGACCACCCATGACATACTCCCGGAAAAATATAACTCATGAATTAATAGTGATATCGCGGACGAATTATACTCGAATGGCGCTTGTATATATATACAACCAAATCTGTTTAAGTTTTTTCTGGATCGGTCCATAATTGGTTATATAACTCCCTTCTCAAAATCACTTAATTGTAAAACTCATGAATTAATAATGATATCGGAATCAAATTATACTCAAATGTGGCTTGTATATATACAACTTATTCTGTGAATGTTTTTTTCAGATCGGCACATACTTGATATTGATAGTGATATTGATATACAAACCGCATTCTGCGATTATTTCTAAGGATCGGTCGTTTATTTGTTTATTATTTAATCTTTCAAAACTAGTTTTAATATATTTAATTATCTTTTATTTCTAGCCTCGTCATTTTCGTGCTCGCCAAAAATCGTCTGAAGTTCGCAGAGTTTCGGTGGGAGGAGTTAATATTGGTGGTGAACATTTGGATGCACATTTATCAACAAATATACCACAATACAATGAATTTGTTTTTACCAGTGAATCGGAAATGGAAACAAGCTCCGCTAATACCAACAATTGGAAACATGGCATTAAACGTCATATACCTTTGGATGTGAAAACCGAACGGAACTATGATACTCCTTCGCCCGGCATATCACCAACGGCTGGCGATAAAGTTAAACGACGTAAAAGTGATGATGGTTTAAGCATGTGCAGCAGTATGCAAGATAGCATAGATGCCAATGCTTCCATTGACTGCAATATAACTGGAATTGGAGGCGGTATAGGTGGTGGTGGTGCGACAGGAGGACAAGGTTCACGTAAAAAGAATTCGATTAGATCTCAACTAGCTCAACAAATGTTGAATTCTTCGACAAGGGTACTCAAAAAACCATCATATGTTGTAAGACCGGGTGGACATTCGGGCTATGGCAATAGTCATGCTGCTCCAAATTTGGCTTTAGATGCCACACTTTTGAAAATTATATTCCGCTATTTACCACAAGAAACGTTGGTAACCTGCTGCTCGGTTTGTAAGGTGTGGTCGAATGTTGCCGTAGATCCAGATTTGTGGAAAACAATGAACTGTGCTGAAATGAAACTATCTGCTTCACTTTTAACCGCCATTGTTAGGCGTCAACCGGAACATTTAATCTTAGATTGGACTCAAATTGCTAAAAGACAATTGGCTTGGGTCATAGCCCGTCTACCGGCGCTCAAGAATCTCTCTCTACAAAATTGTCCCATACAAGCTGTTTTAGCTTTACACACCTGCCTTTGTCCTCCTTTACAAATTCTAGATTTAAGTTTCGTGCGTGGTCTAAATGATGCGGCCATACGCGACATTTTATCACCGCCCAAAGACTCAAGACCCGGTCTAACCGATTCAAAAACCCGTTTAAGAGATTTAAAAACATTGAGAATAGCTGGCACCGATATTTCCGATGTGGCATTGCGCTATATAACGCAGTCATTACCACATTTAATACATTTAGATGTATCTTCTTGCCAGCGTATAACCGATGCCGGTGTGGCTCAAATAGGTACTTCTCCAACGGCCATTGCAAACCTGGTAGAATTAAATTTAAGTGCTTGCCGTTTGGTATCCGAGCTATCATTGGATCATTTAGCAAAATGTGATCAGTTGGTGTGGTTAGACCTGAGGCATGTACCGCAAGTATCTACTCAGGCGGTTATAAAATTTGCTGCCAAATCTAAGCATGATTTGTGTGTCAAAGATATAAAGCTAGTTGAAAAGCGTAAAATACCTCAAACCCCACTCTCCTCGGGAGGCGCTAGCAGCACATTCTCCACCTCAACGACTCCCATTTCATCAGCTGCTGGTTCAGCAAGTATTTGGAATGAATAAAATCTCTCTCACTCTCTCTTTACACAATATCGATGCAAAATAAACCTTAGCAAGGCACAGTGTTTTTTGAATTAAATAAAGAAGTAACCAAAGATTTAAAACATTTTAAACAATTTCGTTCATCAGTTGTAGTTGTATAAAGGATATAATTAAATAGACACTTATACACATACAAATTACGCAAATTATCCAATAGATATAAAAAAGTGTATCTTTATGAAAAAGCATTCCCCTTTTATGATCTTTTAAATAGCTTTAACGATTAAGCTCAGTTAAAATTAAAACACATACAAGAATAAAATCAATACAGAATACCACATAACAAATTGCAACCCACTAAATAAATATATTTATAATTATTATTATAAATTCTAATGTTAACGATAATATTATATGTATATTGTACATACTATATAACATATTATTTGTCGTAACACTTCTTGTTCTCCTCAATTGTAATTAAGTTATATTATAAACAATGAATAACATTAAAAAAATATTAAAAAAACATCCGCACATTTTTAGTGTCATATTTGAAATTTTATAAATTTTAAATTATCATGCAACTCAAATAATGTACCATATAGTACTAACAAAAGAAAATTAAGAAATACATATACATGCAATTATAAGAATTATTTGAAAAATAAAAAAATAAATCATATACATGCATACATAAATCTATATAAAATTAATAAATGTAATGTATGAAGAATAAAAAAATACATATAAAAAAATAAATTTATAAATTTAAAGGCAATTACAAAAGGAAAAATAAACGTATTGACTTAAAACTTTTATTTTTCCTATTAAAGCCGGCGTTTTTTTTTTAATAAAAAAGTGGCAATTTGGTTTTGGAAACTAGAAAATTTGGTAAAATATAAGGGCAGTGTCACACGTTCAATATATATCGTGATATTTGCTGTATTGTGATATGTATTGAACGTGTAGCATGTAATATTGATGGATCGTATTCCATATCACAGAAAACCCCAATTTTGTGAAATCCAAAATTATTATCAATATTTATAATGGATCACGTGATAAATATTGAAGGTGTAGCATGTTTTGTGATATCAATCACGATATTTTTATAAAATTTGGAAAAATAAATAAAATAAAACAAATAACAATGAAATATTGTTTTAAAAGTTGTTAAAAAATATAACAGAAAATTACTTTTTTCTCATGATACAACCATTTGTGTTAATTCCGGATTTTCGAGGCATTCGTTTAATCATCTGCTGACCCGTATACCATAAAATATTGCAAATACTGACGTAAAAAATATTGAACGTGTAGCATACCCGAGGTATTCATCAATCCATTTTAAAATGGGTCGTGATCCAAATTGATCAATATATATTGAACGTGTGCCAGTGCCCTAAGGGCAGTGTCACACGTTCAATATATATCGTGATATTTGCTGTATTGTGATATGTATTGAACGTGTAGCATGTAATATTGACGGATCGTGTTCCATATCACAGAAAACCCCAATTTTCTGAAATCCAAAATTTGTATCAATATTTATAATGGATCACGTGATAAATATTGAACGTGTAGCATGTTTTGTGATATCAATCACGATACATTTGTAAAATTCGGAAAAATAAATAAAATAAAAAAACAAAGTCAAATACATATTTTTTTAAATGTTAATAAAAAATATAAAAGATAATAAATTTTTTCTAAATTTGTATGAATTTGGAGTTTTCGCGGCATTCTTGTTATCATCGTACGACCCGTGTAGCACGAAATAATGAAAATACTGACGCGATATAAATATTGAACGTGTAGCATACCGAGGTATTCATCAAACTATTAAAATGGGTCGTGATTCATATTGATCAATATATATTGAACGTGTGCCAGTGCCCTAAGTTTTCTTTTGAGCAAAAAAAGAAGAAAAACGTCCATTTTGAAATATAGGGGAAAATTAAGGGTCAAACATTGAAAAAATCTCGCATACCATCATGGGATTATAAAGCCCTTTAAGGAAATTGTATAAGCTTTCTTCTGAACAAAAAAAAATATATATATTTGGAAACAATGAAGAACTCCTTTGAAACAATGAAGAACTCCTTTGAACAATTTTGCTAGGACCAATAAGTGAAAAATTAAACTTATTTGAATAAAACCCTGTAGTCCAAAATGTCCAACTTTGATCCCCTCTAAGTCCGGCAGTTCTTGGCCGATAGAGCTGTCTGGCCTACAATCCAATATTACTAACCTTGGTACAAATTTCATCAAAACCGATTTTTAGAGTTGGGTCACTTGACATGAAATTACCTGCCGCAATTAGCAGAAAATTACGGAAATTTTGAAACTAATTTTGAAAAAATCGAAGACATTTTATTTTTCAAAAATTATACTGAGGTCGTTGGAAGGGAACTGAGGACCATTCGAAAAAAAATATTTTTTTTCTCGTATTCAGTACATTAATGCGCATCTTACATGAAATTCTTAAAAAAGCTGTTCCTCGGGACGCTCTAATGTATATCCTTCTAACATATTTTCGACCATATTTTCGGACACAATCAAATGAAAGGTCTTTCGAATATCTTCCCTATGAAATAGTACATACAGTAGTTTTTCGATTTAACGAACCTATATGTTGCCAGGCCTGTTCGTTAAATCGAAAAGTTCGTTATATGCAGTACTAACTCGAAAGTGTCTTTTGGGTACATAAATAATTAAAATTACATAAAATCTAATTTATAAAAATATGTTCCAGGAAATATAATTTCTTTAGACAATATTTTATAAGAATTTTATGAAAAACTAGCAATTTATATCACAATGTAAAAACAATAAAGAAATTTGAAAAAACTCAGTTTATTTCGTATAACTAATCTACGTTCTGGAAAAGCACTCGGACGACATAATTCTTAAAGAAGTTTAAACCCAATGGCTGGAATTGCGATGAATCTGAACCTGGCCTCAGAATTCCTTAGGAAATAGATTAATGTAAAGTTATTAAAGCGTTTCATTGTTTCACAGTTTCATCGTTTTCATTCTTTGAGATATCTGATTCCAAAGTTTTTTGAAATATTTTTTATTTAAATATCCTTTTTCCAAAAGAAAAACTATTTATATTGTTTATTCTATAACATATCGTTTCCAGTTCTTAGAATTGGAAAAAATTATGGTCACAGTGAGGACTTGTTAGTTTGGCGAAAAATAAAAGCGAAATGTTAAGGTATACGATTGGCTAAGTCTTTATTTTGAACACCAATTTCTATGATTTCAAATTCTGAGGCCAAATTCGGGTTGAGCACGAGCTTCTAGAAAAGTATACTTTGGCCTCTCTAAACATTTTTTGTTTCGATTTTCTAATTCGATCGACATTAGTTTTTGCGACATTAAGGATTGTGGATTTGATTATCTCATATTTTTGTATAAATCTTTAATAAAAAAATCTCAGATTATCTAGAATATTCATTTTACTAAATTAGAAAAAATCAACTCTCGAAATCCATATTCGAAAGCAATGGAAAAGTAATAACGTCGAAGCTTTTCTGACATGATTTTTAGTTATTTTTGTTAATTTAACTCTAATTTAAATTATTTTATTTATATTTGTTCGTTAAACTGAGTACAAAACATATTTTTTGTTCGTTATGTAAGGTACTCAATGTAAAAATATTGATAGTTCGCTAAAGGCGATGTTCGTAGAAACGAATGTTCGTTAAATCGGAAAACTACTGTAATTCTTGTTCATATCGAATATAGCATGCGAAATATATAGGTTTTTTATGGACCTATTTTGCTGATTTTAAATAGAATGCATGTCTGAAAGATTTTGATCTTAAATATATCTCTATCCCTCAGAAAATTGTTTTAAACAAGAATACGGAAGGACAGACAGACGGACATCACTAAATCAATAAGAATATACAGTGGTCGTCATGAGGTTAGCACACTTGCTTTGTTATTTGGTTTTAAATGTATACGTTGGTTAGTGGTGCATCTTTGGAGGTTAGTAAAGACACATTTTTCTATTTTTCCTGATCCGAAGATAATAAACTTGAATTAGCATCTTCCAAACATGCGGAATAAGCCAAAGTGTCAATATTATGTCATAAAACTTATTGGGGAAATGTGTTTTAATGGGTCAAATATACTTTCAAAACTTTAGTAAAGAAATCGGAGGACTGCCGTACATTTAAGTAGCGAAATTCTACCGATTAAAAAATTTTCTATTACTGTAACACAACTCCATAGATAAGTGAATTTAACCCACAGAAATTTCATATAAATGTTACCAATGGACATATAAAATCAATAAATACACATTTTTTTCCTTTTTAAGAATTTTAAAAAATCTTAAAATCAATAAAAATACATTTATTTTTTCTCTTTTTATTTCATTCTACTGGATTTGATTTTAAAAATTAATTAAATGATAATGAATGATATACTCACTTTGTATTTTTAGGGATGTGTTGATGATGGACAATTTCTTGACGATTACTATTATGATGATGAACTTAATTGAAATTAGAGTTAGTTTTAAGAAAATTAAATTAATATTTAGCTTGTTTGTAATCGGGTTCATCGGATGAAGTTTTAGATTTACGTTTTTGTATAATTCCCTAAAATGAAATATTGCTCATTAATATCCAAACAATAAAGTTCTATTAAAAGAAATCTTTAAAATGATGTTAAGCTGCTACTGTACCTGAATTTTTTGCCATTCTCTATCCAACTCGGCTTTTTCACTTTTTTCGGTTTTATTTTTACGCGTCTTACGACCGTCCTGCATTTTAACACCATATTGAAAGGCAGCTTTCGGTAGAGCTTCTTTAGTGCTCATATAATCTGAGTATTCTTCTTGGGTATCGAAATCCCAACGTCCGATGGGACCCTTCTTATTACCCAAATCCATTTTTGTATAGTCCACCTCATCATCGGAATCATCAATGGCATCGTTCATTTCCTCAAGGCCAGGATAGCATTCAGCATAGCCTTCGGGTTCGTTAGCGAAACGTGACACAATGGATTTATTAATTTTTGGTGGAGGTGGTATATTAGTTATAATAGGTTCAGCCTCCTCCGATTGCTTGTTGGTATCGCCAAAATAGGAAGATGAAGGTTTGGCGGAGGAGGATGTTGATGACGACGAATGACCATATTTATCTGATTTTGATTTCGAATCATTTTTACTGGGTGGTTGATAATCACCTATATCATCATAAATGGAGTCACCTGTTGGCGGTTTAGCAACAGATTTTGAAGAAGACATTGTCGAAGAATGCAACTGATCTATGTCACGTTCATGGAATAATGGTTTATCCTTGTCACGTTTCTTATTTTTCTTATTACGACCACCGGCTCTTAAATAAGACAAGATTTGCGATAATTTATTGATAACAATGTCATTGGTTGTTAGTGTGGCGGCATCTTCTCTATTCAAAGGAACCTCGTATTTGGAACGTATAAGGGTAGTGGGAATATCCGTCTCCCCAGTATCGTCTTCCAAGTCAATAACATATGCCATTCTACCAGGAGCAAATAGCTCAATACGTTGTATTTCTTTGGAACGTCTGGCTTGTATAATATTAAATATATTTCGCGCCATGGAACCTTTTATAGCCATACTATCTTCTGCTTCCTTACGTTCTTGTTCCAATCTTTCAGCCGCTGCCTGGGCTTCGGCCATTTTTTCAGA